AGGTTGGCCTCCTGGTCGGTTGTCTTTGCCCTACCTGATGGCACCAGCACTTCGGAAGTTCTTGCAGCAGCAGGTCCTCTTCCGTCCATCGTTCAGACCAGTTACAGAGCTGAAATTTTCGCGATGCTGAAGGCCTTGCGACCGCACAGAAGGCGAGTTCTGTGTCTGGTCTGACTGTGCTGGGGTGGTGGCCCGGGTGCAGCGCTTTAGGGACGGTGGCCCTGAGCCGGGTCCCTTGACGAACAACTGTGATTTTTGGAAGCCTGTCTGGCGCCTCATGCAGAGAGTGATGTGCATACAGCCGAGGATGTGGTCCATGAATGGGCGATTCTCCTGAACGGGGCGGCGGACCATGCAGCCAAGGTTGCGAATTTAAGTCGGCCAGCTGCCTTTTGGCAGCTCTGGAATCAAGTGAGAGTCTCCTACAACGTGCGACTTGCAGACGCGCAAGGCTACATGGACTTCCATGCGGCAGCTGGACAGCGCGCGACGAGGTACAAGGCCACACTGCCTGGTATCACTTCTACGCATCAGCAGCGTGCTCCTGATTACGTAGTCTGCCTCAGGGACCAGCCTGATGTGCCCATGCCTAAGCTTGTTGAACGCTGGGGTGCTGAATATGTTTCCAAAGTCTTGCACTGGTTACGTGGCACTTTGCTTCCTGCTGATGATGGAGCTCCTACCTGGGTTTCGAAAGTCGAGCTCTTCTTTGGCTTCCTGCTGTCGGTCGAGTTCCTTCCGCCGATATACGACGCGAAACGGAAGCTCTGGATTCGAAATCCGCACTTGGTCGCGCCGACTCACCGCAGAGTACAGTGGTTCTCACAAAACCTGGGTGCAATTGCCGGCGCTTTGGGACAACAGCTGCGATTTGAACAGAAATGGCCGTCCTCGGCGGCGCTGGGGGGCGTCCATCCCTACATTGCAGTGGTGCTCCCTACGCCACTGAGGACCTCCATTGATGCTTTCTTCATGCGGCACCTCGCAAGGGCGAGGGGTTTTTCAACAGCTTGGTGGCGTTCTCTTCCGCTTCCCGAGGCATGCTTGAGGTAGCCTCATGGTTGTACACCTTCGGATCCAGGGCCAGTTCCGCGATGCTGATCTGTACCCGCAGCCGAAAACAGTGAAAACAGGGTTTAGGGTTTAAGGGTTTTAGGGCTTTAGGGTTTAGGGTGTAGGGGTTGAGGGTTTAGGGGTTTCAAGGTTTAGGGTTTAGGGTTTAGGGTTTAAGGGTTTAAGGGTTTAGGGTTTTAGGGTTTTAGGGCTTTAGGGTTTAGGGTTTAAGGGTGTAAGGGTAGA